ACTTTCATTTTCAATTATTAGGTTGCAAGTTTGATCTTCTATCTTTATGCTTAAATCTTTAAGTGTCAATCAGTACACGTCTATTTTTGTTTTTTAGGTACTTTTTTATTTTACAAAATTCATAGTATGTTTGATACATGAGAAGACTAGAATAGAAATGGCCAAAGCAGCATCTGACTGTATGATATGTCTATTAGTATTAAAACTACAAAGCTACAAATGAAACCAAAGACCGATAATTAGTCAGTTATTCTATAATACTCTAATACTGATTAGAAATCCCTAACAGCGACTTCATAAAGACACTTGAGTTTAAAAAACAAAGAAAGAAGAAGAAGAGAGAGATATACATAGAGTAAGAGAGAGACACACATACATATATGCATACATATATTAAACTGCCACCAGTATGTGTACGTACCATTTTTTAAGGCGGTGTAGACTTGGGGCTGTGAGCCTGAGGGTTTAGAGCCACATCGCTAGTGCTGTCACCACGGACGGTGCAGGTTCGGATGTTAAATTCCCCCCCCCCCCCACACCCCCACCCCCCCCCCCCCCCCCCCCGACAGAATCACTCCATCGCTTTACCGGTGGTCAAACCCGGGTCTCCCGTTTTAACTGCTCGACCAGCTGCTCCTTCTATCTTGTGTGTGTGTTTGTGTGTGTGTGTTTGTGTGTGTGTGTGTGTGTGTGTGTGTGTGTGTGTAAGGCAAAAAAAAAGAAGAAGACTTGGGTTGGTCATCTAACAAGAATCCCTGGTGATTACTACCACAGAGAGCCACGTTGAATGAATATAATGAGCAAAAAACAAGAAGATGGCCACGCAATAAATGCAAGAACAACCACCCCGACATGATACTTATATGCACTCATAAGTTCATTGGATTCCCCTTAAACATTGCTATGAAGTGTCTAGACAGTGTCTAGATGGGTAGGAGTAGAAAAGTATGAGAAAAAATAAAGAAAGAAGAGGTGGAAGAGAAAGAAGATTATGGAGAGGAGAAAGGGATGATACCAAGAAGAAAAATGAATACACACACACATACATACAAGCACACACAAATGCAAACAGATCGAATATTTTATAAGATGACCAATTAATGGAGTTGCAAACAATCGAATAAACGTACAAACAATAGAACAAACGTACACACAATCGAATAAACGTACAAACAATAGAACAAACGTACAAACAATAAAATGTAGACAACATAGATTAATGAGGCCAGTGTGACAAAAGACAAATAAATAAGGCCCTCTAGCCAGAGCGATTTATTAAAGGATTTGTAATTTTAAAATAGAAGTAAAGCACACAATTTATCACTGGATGCAGAAATGTGTACTACAAATCTCCTATTGTTATATCCAGGAACTTAGTGTCAAACACAGTTAATTTTTTAATATTTTGTTGAGTTACGGCTCCCACCGTTCATAGCTCTTTCTCCTCCCTCATCCGTTGCAAGCATTTATTCGAGTGATCACGTATCTCAGCATTCAACTGGGTAGCCAGAGATGTGATTTCTCTCAGAGATACGTCAGTTAAGGGAGTTTGTGCATCAGTGGTTGTATCTGTGGTATTTTATTTTCATGCCTTGTTCTTATGTGGGGTGTTTCACTTGTGGTTTGTGTTTGTGATAATGCGAAGCTCACGAGTTCTACTGAACATTTGGTTTGATATCTTTTCAGTATCATTTTATATCAGAAGCAGTGGATCTGGCCGAAACTATACATTCTGAAATGAGCTAACACTCACGTATAATTATCTTCTACTTTCACACTGGAGTTCTTCGCTGGCTGCTGAAGATGAAGACGGTGCTCGAATGGGTAACGTCCGAAAAACTGTGTTGACGATTCCTAATTGAATTCAACTAGATCCATATATATAAGTAAAGGTCCATTTTCCACGCCTTTAGGCATTTATGGCTAGACCTCTATTTTTTATAGACCAATTGGCACGAGTTGGGAGATGTAGTCAGCATCACGCCAGCCGCCTTCACTTCCCGGGACTGCACCCTGTACCCACTCATGACTGGGTCGACCTGGGAGTCAAAGTCATTTCTGAAAAAATTCCGGCTCCGCTAGGAAGCGAACTCACGACCTTTCGATCCGAACTCGAGCGTTTATAAATCAATGTTTGTGTGTTTGTTTGCCCCTTATAGACTCGGAAACTACTGAACCGATTTAGCTGAAATTTTCAGAATATGTTTGTTTTGATACCGGATGTTGAACCATCATGGTTTGAAATTCAACCTGTCACTGTTAGAGATAGGTGACCACTATTTAAGCCACAATATTCGAAACTAATATTTATAATTTTAGTGATTTCTAATTATAGCCACGTTAGTAATTGCGCATGCGCCGTAGTCAGAACGCAAGGCTTCCACCATTCGCCGGGGAGTTACGTGCAGCCAACGCCTTCTCTAATATATAGAGTAGGTCGTGGTACAGCAAACAAGACTATCTCTATATTTGCCACAATAACCATATTAAACACAATTTCTATTTTATGTTTTTTTTTTCAAACAACCTTCGATGGGGGAGGGGGGGGGGGGGGGGCATCAAGGACTATCTCGACGTCGGCGCAGACATTGACTGCGACATTAACTTTATTAACCGTGTTAGACACGTGCGATTTCTATTGTTGTGCCGTTTCATTAATATATCTGGAGTATCTGTCTACGAGAAAACAATTAACCCGCGGTTTTGAGTTGTGTTATAATCGGGACACAGTAGTAGGGACACACATCTCTAATAGATAAGTTCTCTTTTCGTTGATCCGATTAAGTGGCTGCTTGGTCGAATGGTTAGAACACTGGGTTCCTGTGCGGGAGACGAGGGTTCGAATCCGCAGTAGTTAATTTTTTTTTACCTTGGACTAAAATAATATCCTCATCTGCTCTGTCGTGGTGACAGCACTAGCCATGTTGCCTTAATACTAAAAAAAAAAAAAAAAAAAAAAAAAAAAAAAAAAAAAAAAAAAAAAAAAAAAAAAAAAAAGACAAGTAAATGGGTAAACCATTTCATAATTAAATTTGACCATTTCGCATACTTATGATTGCATTCTTAAACTTTCCGATTGCATGGTTACGATGAAATTTCATAGATTTCCATTTATTTTCATGTAGATTTAGTTATTTCATCAGCGTTGGAATTTTAAGCTGTGCTGTTTACCATGGCGTTCATTTCCTAATTATGGTGTTTTTTTCCTGTGTTAATTTGCTTTTCAAATGTTTTTTCCTCCCTACTATTTCAATGAGGGAAAGAGTTGTCGGTGAATTTAGGGGGGCGGGGGGGGGGGGCAACTATTAACTCAGAGAGCTTTAAGTCACAGTAACTGCTTTACCCACTTAAAGTAGCAGCAGCAGTAATAGTTGTGGTTGGGCTGTTACACCATAGTACTCTCATGTGAAGACCGCCGGTAAGGTTATGGCGTTCTTCTGTCGGGAAGTGAAATTATACATCCTAACCTGACCAGTCTGTGGCGACAGCACTAGCCATGCGGAACCAAATCTTCTGGCTCAAGACTCTCTGTCTACTCCGATGGTAACACAGATAGCAGTGACATTATTTTAGCTATTGTGGTGGTGGTCGTGGTAGTAGTTGTACTGGTACTTGAAGGATGATGTGGTAAATATTACACTAGCCCCATTCACTACCTATTACAATTCCTGCTCCCCATTTTAGTCCAGATGGACAGGGATGTCAATGTCTGTTACAGCAAAAAAAAAAAAAATATCGCCAGGTAGCTATTTTCAAATCCTTCGAAGAGGGAGAGAGCAGTAGTCGGTGGAAGAGGGGAGGGGGTAATGACTTAAATTTAAGAGAACTTAAAGAGCTTTTCAAGTTCTCATGACCTAATTTGTTTATATTTTACTAACGCTACCTCCGCTTTTCTATTTTTTACGACTTACTTTGTTATTCACAAGTACAGTTGTAGCTTTACTTCCGTCCCCTATAAAAATACAAACAGCTTTAGCATGTGATAACCAAATAACCATTTTTGTTACTGCCATTTAAACGACCACTAATATAAAGACACAATTATAAGGTGTGTGTTCTAAAGTTGGAAAACCAGACTATCTCTATATCTGTGCAGAGAATGATTGCGACATTAACCATATTAGACACGTGCGATTTCCATTGTCTTTCTTTTCCAAAAACCTTTGATGGGGGAGAGAGTAGTAGGTGGATTTAGTTGTGGTGGTGGTGGTGGTGGTGGGGGGGGGGGGGGCGGGGATCAAAGACTATCTCTATATCTGAGCAGGACAATGATTGTATAGACACGTTGCGATTTCTATATTTTCTTTCATTTCCATTTAGCCAAAACTATGCCACATCAGCGCGTGGCCGGGTACAAGCTAGTATATATATATATATATATATATATATATATATATATATATATATATATATATATATATATATATATACACACATAAATTATTGGTAGTACAAAAAGACAAAATGACCAGCGCCACACAACGAGAACTATTTTGTATCTATTTCCGGGGTTCACACACGTGTCAGGGATTCAACAGGCCAGAGATGATGATTCTTGTCGAAGACTGTGTTAAGTGATGATTGTTTGTGTATTCGTGTTCGTGTTTGCGGTATTCTATATTACCATGGCAGACATGGGTAGCAAGAACAAGTAATCTTGACAACCAGGACCACCCAGGGCTTGCTGAGAAGACAACACCTGATAGTCCCTGTCAGACGCAGGATTGGAATGGAACAAAGCCAAAAGAAAAACTGCTGATAGAGTAGTCTGGCGATCTCTGGCAAACATTTCATCCTAAGGTAGAAGGGGTTGGTCTAAGTAAGCAAGGTATTTATGTAATATGCTTATGTTTGTGTTTGTTTTAATGTGAAGCTGACTCGTTTGGTTTAATATCTACACGACAAGAACTATAATAAGAAGACATTAGAGGTTAACAACAACATACATCATGTACAGGCCACCAGACTAACGTCTGTTCCAATTCTTGTGGAAGGATGAGTTAATGTAGAAAATATCCAGAAAACACGATGCTGACTTCGGAATCTGTGGGGCTGTTGTTATTTGTAATGCCTGTCCACACTTCCTGCCCTGGTTTCAGCGAGGTCAACAGGTCAATTTTCTGTCGTTGTTCTTCGCTGGTAGAGGCGATGACCGAATCGTCGACGATAAGGTTTGCTTCCAGGTTCACTTCTGGCGACTGAAAGCATACCGAGCAATCAAGAAGTTTATAGATATATGAACATGAAAACTTTGTGGATAAAACGACAATTTGTTGTGTGAGAGATGTGTATTTCGAAGGGCCGAATGTATGACAGGCCTGAGTGCCAAATGTGTGATTCTTTTCGTTCAGATCTATCTGTTTGTCTGTCTGTCTGTCTGCCTGCTTGTCTGTCTGCCTTGCCTGCCTGCCTGCCAGCCTGTCAGCCAGACAGCCAGCCAGCCAGCCTGCCCTGCCTGTCTGCCTGTCTGTCTGTCTGTCTGTCTGCCTGTCGCCTCAACTCTTTGTGTCTATTCTTACCATTTTGTCAATCTTTCCGACACTACATCTCCCCCCAGAAAACTACTTCTCTCCTCTAAAAGCTACCTATCTCCCCTTACAACTTTTGATCTCACTTGAACACTGCTTCTCTTCACTTCTCTTCCATTAACACGTCATCTCTTCCCGAAACATCACTTCTCTCGCCAGAAGACCACTTTCTCTCCGGAACGCTGTTTCTCTCATCTGAACACAAAAATAAAGTTCGTTCGTTCGTTCGTTCTCTTTCGGAATGTTTCTACACTCGCCTAACCACAGATTCTCTCCCCTGAACACGGCTTATCTTTCGGAATGTTTCTTCGCTCACATGACCACTGATTCTCTCCCCTGAACACGGCTTCTCTTTCTGAATGTTTCTTCGCTCACATGACCCCTGATTCTCTCCCCTGAACACGTCTTCTCTTTCTGAATGTTTCTTCGCTCACATGACCACTGATTCTCTCCCCTGAACACGGCTTCTCTTTCGAAATTGTTTCTTCGCTCACCTGACCACTGATTTTCTCCCCTGAACACGGCTTCTCTTTCGGAATGTTTCTTCGCTCACCTGACCACTGATTCTCTCCCCTGAACACCACTTCGTATAATTATCCGTTTGTAAAAACATCAGCTTGTTCAGTAAGACGTCTGCGTCTGCCACTTACTGGTTATGAACTTGGTTTCATAGCTTCAATACCCAGAATTCTAATCAGCAGCAGACGATCTAACAGCAAAAAGTGTTGCGCTGATGACGAATTAGTATGACCCTTGACTGTTCATGAACTAATAACATCATAATGAAAAATCACACTGTAGAAGCTCTGCCCCCCCCCCCCCTTCCCGGCCACACACACACACTCCTACACTGGGGAGGGCGGCTTCATGGCGAAGTGGTCAAGCCGTTTGCCTCGCGCTCCTAAGTTCGTGTGTTCGTTCTCTGGGATCGTCGCGGGGCTTTCGACAGGCTGTAAGCCGTTCTGCAGAGACAGACTGAGCCATACGGGATAAAACCAGTGTAATGAAGTTGATCCTATCGACTTTAGCACATACCACACACACACACACACACACACACACACACACACACACACACACAGACACATACACAAACGTAACATATCTTGTGAGGGATCAAGAGAAGAAACACAAAGACATTTGTAGCAGAACCCTACCTTCTGATAGCTCAGCGAAAAATGGTAGATTCCTTCAAACGGGGCTAGGAAGATCCCATTGGCTGGATCGAAGTAGGGTCCACTGTTGACCGTCGCGTTGTAGTTGGAGATTCTCTGGTCGGTGAAATTTCCGATCTTGTCTGTGCGGATGGCGTAGAATACTGCCGACCTTTTGATCCGCTCTGTGAAGGTAAAGATGAAGTAGAGAGATGTGAACCAGCGTCACTGCACAAGGTTATAAACCACAAGGGCTCTGCCACTAATACGGACAGCTTGTAAGAAACTGTCCGCTTGTGTCGCCGTCCGCACGCAACTCTGTAACTACAGTGACGTTCCTCCATTTACCCCAAAGTGTTAAATCTGGTACCCAATACCTAGAGGCTGCGTGTACCCCGGGAACCGCCCGGTTTCAAACACCGACCGTGGGCTGCAGCGAGTCGCAGCTGGATTTGAAAGCGAGTCTCCTTTCGACTGTGCTAGCCCAGCTTTAAAAATTGACGCCTCCGACGGGACTCGAACCCGCAATTCCCGGCTTAGCAGGCCATTGCCTTATGTATTAGGCTACAAGAAAACTAATGAGTAACAGATGAACAATCCAGAAGTCGCAGTGGTATAGTGGTAAGTCGCTGGATTAACTTTTGATGTATTTTAGTAGTGATTCTGTGCCGACATTTTTTTTTTCTTATGATCTTGTTTCTGATTTATCCTTCGGGTCACTCCTTGAGATTTTCTCAGCCATTTGTCTCAGCCACCCAAGTTTCATGGGTACTAATTTTCCTATGATACAGGAATATGACACTACTTATACTTTTCTT